GTGCTGCGTGGCCCAGCCGACCCCTGAAGGCCGAGGCCGAGGGGCTCACTTCTGCCCTCTCCTCTGCCCAGGAGGCCACGGCTTCCGGAAGCCCATCCAGGAGGAGCACTCGGACGCCCACTCCACGCTGGCCAAGCTCTGAGCACGTCCCTGGGGCGGCTGCGCCCTCCCAGGCCAGGTGGTGGGGTGTCCCCAGGCGCAGGCCGCCCCCCATGGTACACATCACCCCATCGCTGTCACCTCATCCCTGTCACCCTGTGCCCGGCTCCCAGGGCCTGTTCCTGCCCGCACCATTCTCGGTGCTTCTGGGCCGGCACCTGGGCCGCTATGTATGCCGTGCATACTCCCACCCAGGTGGTAACCCCAATAAACGCTGCTGGCAAATGTGGGTCTCTGTCTGGGTGCCTGGGGCTGGGACTGGCATTCCTGGGGGCTGGGACCTGGCCACCCCGGCTGGCGGCCTCTGAGGCCGGGGTGCGGGAGGGGCTCTGGTGAGCCACCCCAGTACCTGTGGGGGACTGGCAGTCAGACAAGATCCTAAATGAGGGTGAGGGGCCTGCAGCCCCAGTGCAAGGGGTGGGGCTGGGGTCCTGGCGAGTCCCAAAGGGGCTCAGAGGTGGCGTCTGTTCATCCGAGAGCCCCCTGCCCTTTCCTCCTCCTCCTGGCCCCGCAGACCACGCCTGCGGCCCTGAGTGTGTGGGGACCCGCACACCTCCCACCCCAGGGCCATGCCACCCAGGTCCTCGTGGGGCCACATGCCCAGTCCTGCAGGAGGGAAGCGAGTGCTGGGGGATGTGAGTGGAAGGTCCCAAAGGGGAACCCGGGCCTCCACCGGCGGCAGGTGGATGGAGACTGTGTGGCACGTTCAGAGGGACCGCGGGCAGCACTCGGCCGGCACTCACCACACGCCCAGTCCTGCAGGAGGGAAGCGAGTGCTGGGGGGATGTGAGTGGAAGGTCCCAAAGGGGAACCCAGGCCTCCACCGGCGGCAGGTGGACGGAGACTGTGCGGCACGTTCAGAG